TAAATCCCTAAAAAGTGACGAATACTGCTTAAATTTATTTTAATCCTAAATAAACCATAAATCTTAATTAAATATCACTTCTAACACAAATCCATGACCCGTATGCTAAATATCAGTAAAAGTTAAACAAGATTTTGTTAGAATAAAAGGAAAAATACCTATCAATGGCACCAGGAACAGCGTCAGAATCGTCTGTGCTTTGTGGTCCCTTTCGAATGTTCTATTCTATTCCTTCAATGGAGATTCGTTCTGTTGGTGGGTGGAGTAAAGTTGTTTTCTTCTGTGGTCCTTTTCTGGGTTGTGGGGTTAATAGAAGCTTTTCTTTGTTCTCGATCGCAATGCTTGGAGTCGGACGATTTCCTGGCATTCATCTGTCTTTTTCTTTTTTTTTTTCAAACCAGTCAGCGGTGGGGCCCACAAAGACTTCCCGCTCATGGGGTCCAAGTTGGCATGCCAAGTTGTCAAAAAAGTCTGAGGTGGCGCTGACATGTGCATACTTGACAGAGGCCAACGATGCACGTGCTACACGTGACGATCCGGCGTTAAATTTTGCCTCATTTCCTCAAACTCGAAAATATGGAAGGTAAAAATCTATGTATTGTAACATGGAGGGTAAAAACCCTCAAAATCGAAAAATTAAGGGGCAAACGGTTACCTTTTGCCTGACTTTATCGCCTAAAAGTTGAATATCTCCCGGACTAGTGCGTTTTGCTTCCTCCTCTTTTTTTTTTTTTTTTGATTGGCAAAAGTGGGTTTTGCTTCTTTCATATAATCAAACCGACTTTCTTTTCTCCCGTTCCTGCTGCGGCCTAAATTCCTGCGGCTTAAACTCTTTACTTTTTGCCAAAATTTTCCTTGATCGATTGAATCCTCGAGGATGGTCGTACAAACCTCTGGCAAATTCTCTCCGGTCAATGAATGACTGAACCGATCTTCATGGTCTAATCCCGTCGCCGGCGAAAAAAGAGGATAATATGGAGCCGGGACGTGCATCCTTATTTCTTGAAGACTTCGGGCAGAAAGTGGACCTTACTCGGCGGATCCGGGAGGTGCTATTGAATTATCCGGAGGGGACGACGGTGCTGAAGGAGCTCATTCAGAACGCCGATGATGCTGGCGCTACGCGTGTGCGGTTCTGCTTGGACCGCCGGGTTCACGGCACGGGATCTTTGCTGTCGGAATCTTTGGCGCAGTGGCAGGGCCCAGCTCTACTCGCGTTTAACGACGCTGTTTTCACGGAGGAGGATTTTGTTAGTATTTCCAGGATTGGTGGGAGTGGAAAGCATGGCCAGACCTGGAAAACGGGCCGATTCGGGTATTTGTTGTTGTTTTGTTATGCAAAGGTCTATTTGTGTCGTCATCAACTTAATTTTTGCATAATATGCTACTGTATATATATATATATTTATGGAATTTGAGGTTATGGAGCTTTGTGATAGGCACTTGTGATCGCTTACCAAACCCTGCTGTCAGTTTGTGGAGAAATTTTTATCCTTGGAAATCCTTATTCTGTTGCAGACTAACTTGGATTTCCTTTAGTGAAACCAGTTATCTATATTGTTTGTCAATATAGTATTTCATGATTGCCACAAATCCGTAGTTTGAACATGTTTAACATGGTTTTGTTACAAATGTCAATTCTGTCATCATGTTTTAGTGTTCTTTATCCGTTTTGTTTTCTTCTTCTTCTTCTTCTTCTTCTTCTTTTTCGTCTTTTTCTTCTTTTTTGGTTTACACTCTTTATGGGATTAATTGGTCCTTTTACTTTCCAGGGTTGGATTCAATTCCGTGTACCACTTAACAGATTTGCCTTCATTTGTGAGTGACAAATTTGTCGTATTATTTGATCCTCAAGGCGTTTACCTTCCAAATATATCCACAGCTAATCCTGGAAAGAGAATCGAGTTTGTTAGTTCTTCAGCCATCTCAATATACAAAGACCAATTTTTTCCATATTGTGCTTTTGGTTGTGACATGCAAAGTTCTTTTGCTGGAACTTTATTCCGTTTTCCATTGAGGAATGCAGATCAGGCAGCCCAAAGTAAGCTCTCTAGGCAAGCATATACAGAAGATGATGTTAATTCAATGTTCGTTCAGCTTTTTGAGGAAGGAGTTTTTTCGCTACTTTTTCTAAAAAGTGTATTATCTATTGAAATGTATGCATGGAATTCTGGGGAAGCTGAGCCAAGGAAGCTATATTCATGTTCAGTTCACTCTGCAAATGATGACGTTGTTTGGCATCGTCATGCTCTCCTGAGATTGTCGAAGTCAATTATTTCTACAGAAAGTGAGATGGATGCATATTTAGTCAATTTTATGAGTGAAGATATGACTGGAAATGAATCTAGGGAGAGATTTGATACATTTTACATAGTACAGATGATGGCTTCGGCGTCTAGCAGGATTGGTTCTTTTGCTGCTACTGCATCCAAAGAATATGATATGCACCTTCTACCATGGGCATCGATTGCAGCATGTGTGTCAGATGATTCATCAGATGTAATGTGCAATACTTCCCATGTTCTTTATCTTTTTGTGCAGCTATGCTCTGTGTTTGCTCCCTGTGTTTCTCTTGCAGAAATACTTTTGGTCCGCCTTTTAAAGTAATTTTGACGCTGAATCTTAGCTTTCTTTTCAAGTTTGAATTATGTGCTTGGTTTGTTTAGACACGTTGTACATTTCAGATTAGGTGTCTCTGAGTTTCATATTGTTAGTTAGAGGTGCATGGCAATTATGAATGTTTTTTGTGATGCAGATGTGTATTGTCTAATAGAAATTCTAGCCAATCTTAGTTTCCATACTTCTAAATAAAGTCTGTTTGTGTTCTAGACATTGGTGGGTTAGCTAAAAGGATTTTAGAAGGTTTAAAGGAAAAATGACATGAAATGCATCTTTCTTCAATTAAGTCATCTTGGGGGAGGTTCTAGCATGAGCACTTTGGGGAAGCTTGTTTGAAACCTGTATTAGTTTTGTTTCTTGTAATAATAGTAGAATATGAAAAACCTCTCTTTGACCTGATACCAATTTCTTGATTCTATACACAAGAAGTTAGTGATATTGAAAATGGATAGGATAGCTCTAATTGCTAAATTCATGCATGAAAGAGGTGGAATAGACAACCTGTTTAATTTACGTTTGCAGGGCTTTTTACACTTCTCTTTTTATTTGTTACCGTAGAATCTCATATTGTAAAATATTATAGAAATCAATGGTCTAGGGAAGTAATTTTCTTTTTCTGAATTTATCTCTGACAAACTGCATCAAAACTCTATACTCAATAATGGCATCCATATAAAAATTGAATGTTAAATAATGAGCTGCTGATATTCTTTATCCAGTAAAATTGTGTATGGGTTATAATCCATTGATCTGGTAACTCTTCTGCTTGTAAAACACTGATTTAAAATTGTGCATGCATGTTAAATAAAGATATTTTCTGTGAGCTTTTAGTTTTAGGTAGACCAGTCATCAGGTTGGATAATATGCTTCTTTTATTTTAATTTTGCCATTATGTATAAGTATGTAACTGGAAATGTCAATATAAACCTTTAACAGCGTATGTTTGTTTCTGTTTATGCATTTATACTAAAGCAGTTCCGTTTGTGTCAGTATATGATGTAATGTCTCATATTAATTTAGATAGGTTAATGTATAAAACTTTCGAGAAAAATAAGAGAAATGCTTCTTTGGTTGAACTGATTTGAATTTCATCCCCAGGCTTCTTTGTTATTAAACTGTAATCTTACATTGCTGTGATGCATTTTAAACAGAATGGTGTGCTGAAGGTTGGCCGAGCATTTTGTTCTCTTCCACTGCCTGTAAGAACTGGCTTGACAGTGCAGGTTAATGGTTACTTTGAAGTTTCCTCAAACCGTCGTGGCATCTGGTATGGGGCTGATATGGACAGAAGTGGAAAAATTCGATCCGTCTGGAATAGGCTTCTTTTAGAAGATATTCTGTGTCCCACATTTACACAGTTACTGCTTGGTGTGCAGGAATTGATGGGGCCAACAAATTCTTACTATTCTTTATGGCCCAATGGTTCTTTTGAAGAGCCATGGAACATTTTTGTAGAGAATGTGTACAGAAACATTAGTAATTTTTGTGTGCTATATTCGGATCTTGAAGAAGGAAAATGGGTTTCACCAGTTGAAGCATTTTTTCATGATGAGGAGTTTAGGAAAAGTAAGGAACTTGGTGAGGCTCTGCTTCTGCTTGGAATGCCTATTGTGCATTTGCCAAATTACCTAATTGATATGTTTCTGAAATATGCTTCGAGTCTTCAGCAGAAAGTGGTAACTCCTGATGCAGTGCGTCATTTTCTTAAGTCGTGTAAAACTCTTATGAGCTTGAGCAAATCTTCTAAACTTGTGTTGTTAGAATATTGTCTTGAGGATTTGGTTGATGATGATGTTGGTATGTTTGCTGGTAACCTGCCACTGCTTCCATTGGCAAATGGTGATTTTGGGATATTTTCTGAAGCCACAAAAGGAGTTTCTTATTTTGTCTGCAATGAGTTAGAATACATGTTGCTTCAAGAAATTTATGATAGAATTATTGACCAAAACATTCCTCTCAACATACAAAGCAGACTCACTGCTATTGCAAAGTCATCAAAGGCAAATCTTGCTGTTTTCAATATTCACCATTTTCTGAAATTGTTCAATAGATTTGTGCCTGCTGACTGGAAACTTAAAACTGAAGTTCTGTGGCAAATGGAATCTTGTTCTCGTCCAACTAAATCATGGTTTATGCTGTTTTGGCAATATCTACGGAATCAATGTGAAAGGTTATCATTGTTTGGTGACTGGCCTATCTTGCCATCAATATCTGGCTATTTATACCGACCTTCTAGACAGTCAAAACTTATCAATGCAGATAAACTTTCTGCTAAAATGCAAGACATTCTTATGAGGATTGGATGCAAGATACTTGATCCCAATTATGGAGTTGAACATGCAGATTTGTCTAATTATGTATCTGATGCTAATTTTTCAGGTGTTTTAGAATCTGTGTTTGATATTTTATCATCAAATAGCAGCATTATGGAAACATTTTATCATAATTTGACACCTGAGGATAGAGATGAGCTGCGCAGGTTTCTTCTAGACCCAAAGTGGTATATGGGAGACTCCATTGATGGGTCTAATATAAAAAATTGCAAGAGATTGCCCATTTACAAAGTTTACAGTGGAGAATCAGTTCAAGATTCTTGTTTCTCTGATTTAGAAAATCCTCAAAAGTACTTACCCCCATTAGCTATCCCCAGTTATCTTCTAGGAGGTGAATTTATTGTCAGCACCTCAAAGAGTGAAGAAGAGATTTTGTTGAGGTATTATGAGATTGAGAGAATGGGGAAGGCCAGATTTTACAGGCAGCAGGTGTTAAATAGAATTGAGGAATTGCATCCTGAGGTTCGAGAGAGTGTGATGCTTTCTATTTTGCAAAACCTGCCACAATTGTCTTTTGAGGACACATCTCTAAGAGAATATTTGAAGAAAGTTGAATTTGTACCAACCCCTAGTGGTGCTGTGAAATCTCCTGAAGTGCTATATGATCCTCGTAATGAAGAATTGTATGCTTTGCTGGATGACTCCCATAGTTTCCCTTCTGGTTCTTTCCAAGATCCTGCTGTTTTGGACATGCTACTTGGAGTGGGACTAAGGACATCTGTAACTCCTGAGACAGTCATTGAGAGTGCTAGACAGGTAGAAAAACTAATGCATGAAGATCAAGAAAAGGCACATTCAAGAGGTAAAATACTTCTTTCTTACTTGGAAGTAAATGCAATGAAATGGCTGCCCAATCAATTAGGTGATGAGAAAGGAACTATGAATAGGATGTTCTCACGAGCTGCAACTGCATTCAGGGCTTGCAACTTGAAATCTGATCTTGAAAAGTTCTGGAACGATCTTCGCACAATTTGCTGGTGTCCAGTATTAGTTTCTGCTCCATTTCAGGCCTTACCATGGCCTGTTGTGTCATCCAAGGTTGCTCCTCCAAAGCTTGTAAGACTGCAAACAGACTTGTGGATTGTTTCGGCATGCATGAGAATTCTGGATGGTGAATGTTCTTCCACTGCATTGTCGTATAACCTTGGATGGCTATCTCCACCTGGAGGGAGTGCAATTGCTGCTCAGTTACTTGAACTTGGGAAAAACAATGAGATTGTGAATGATCAAGTGCTCAGACAGGAGTTAGCTTTAGCAATGCCAAGGATATATTCCATCTTGACAAGTATGATTGGTTCGGAAGAGATGGATATTGTAAAGGCTATTCTAGAAGGTTGCCGTTGGGTTTGGGTTGGAGATGGTTTTGCAACCTCAGATGAGGTTGTCCTTGATGGTCCTCTTCATTTGGCCCCATATGTACGTGTTATACCTACTGATTTAGCAGTTTTTAAGGAGTTATTCTTGCAGCTTGGTATTCGAGAATTTTTGAAGCCCTCCGATTATGCCAATATTTTATGTAAAATGGCAGCTAGAAAAGGTTCCTCTCCCCTTGATATGCAGGAAATCAGGGCAGCAATACTGATTGTACAGCATATTGCAGAAGCTCAGTTTAACGAACAAGTTAAGATCTATTTACCAGAAGTGTCAGGCAGGCTTTTCCCTGCCAGTGATTTAGTTTACAATGATGCTCCTTGGTTGCTTGGCCCTGATGACTCAAATACCTTATTGGGTGGTACATCTACAACATACTTGAATGCAAAGGGAACTGTCCACAAATTTGTCCATGGAAACATATCTAATGAGGTTGCGGAGAAGCTTGGTGTCTGCTCACTTCGTAGAATCTTGCTTGCTGAGAGTGCTGATTCGATGAATTTGAGTTTATCGGGTGCTGCTGAAGCCTTTGGACAGCATGAAGCATTGACAACGAGACTTAGACATATACTTGAAATGTATGCAGATGGGCCTGGAATTCTCTTTGAGCTGGTTCAAAATGCTGAGGATGCAGGAGCTTCTGAGGTGATCTTTCTCTTGGATAAAACTCAATATGGGACTTCTTCTGTTCTTTCTCCTGAGATGGCAGACTGGCAAGGCCCTGCATTATGCTGTTTTAATGACTCTGTTTTCAGTCCACAAGATTTATATGCCATCTCACGTATTGGTCAAGAAAGCAAGCTCGAAAAGCCTTTTGCAATAGGAAGATTTGGACTGGGCTTTAATTGTGTCTATCATTTTACGGATGTACCTACATTTGTTTCTGGGGAAAACATTGTGATGTTTGATCCTCATGCCAGTAATTTGCCTGGAATATCTCCTTCGCATCCTGGTCTTCGAATTAAATTTCAAGGGAGAAAAATATTGGAACAATTTCCAGATCAATTTTCACCTTTTCTGCACTTTGGCTGTGATCTGCAGCAATTTTTCCCTGGTACACTTTTCCGTTTCCCTCTTAGAACTGCTGCTGTTGCTTCAAGGAGCCAGATTAAAAAGGAAGGTTATGCACCTGAAGATGTTATGTCCCTTTTTTCTTCCTTTTCAGCAGTTGTTTCTGATGCTTTACTTTTTCTACGAAATGTAAAAGCTGTCTCTATTTACATAAGGGAAGGAACTGGCTCTGAAATGCAACTCCTACACCGTGTACAGAGGGATTGCATTATTGAGTCAGGAGTGAAATCCAATGATTTGCACAAGATGTTCAGTCTTATTGATATAAAGCAGCATGGTGGAATGGATAAAGATCAATTGCTGCAGAAATTAAGTAAGTCAATAAATGGAGATCTGCCATACAAATGTGAGAAGATTGTGGTGACAGAACAAAGTTCAACTGGTTGTATGTCACACTGTTGGATAACTGGCGAATGCATGGGCAGCGGGTGTCCTAAAACTCACTCTGGTATTTCCAAGGTCAAGTTTCATAAGTCCATTCCTTGGGCTTGTGTTGCTGCATACATACACTCTGTCAAAGTTCCTGGTGAAACTACTGATAACCTGGACAAAGGAAATGGTTGTTCTAGTGACTTGTTTCATCTTTCTGTGTCCTCAATTCAAGACAGGAAGAGCTTTGAGGGTCGTGCATTCTGTTTTCTGCCCTTGCCTATCAGTACAGGTCTCCCAGCACATGTCAATGCATATTTTGAGTTGTCATCAAATCGGAGAGACATCTGGTTTGGTAACGATATGGCTGGGGGTGGAAAAAAACGCTCAGACTGGAATGTTTACCTTCTGGAAGATGTTCTGGCCCCTGCCTATGGTCACTTGCTTCAGAAAATTGCTTTGGAGATTGGCCCTTGTGATCGATACTTTTCATTTTGGCCAAAAACAATTGGATTAGAACCATGGGCATCATTGGTTAGGAAACTATACGCTTTTGTTTCTGATTCTGGACTCCGGATACTGCACACAAGAGCTAGAGGAGGACAGTGGATTTCAACCAAACAAGCTATTTTTCCTGATTTTGCTTTTAGTAAGGCTCATGAACTTGTGGAAGGGTTATGTGATGCTGGTCTTCCTCTTGCAACTATTCCCAAGCCACTTGTAGAGCAATTCATGGAGGTTCTCCCATCATTGCATTTTCTGACACCTCAGTTGTTAAGGTCTTTGCTGATTCGGCGAAAACGAGAATTCAAGGACAGGAATGCAATGATCTTGACCCTTGAATATTGCTTACTTGACCTAAAGATTCCCATTCAACCTAATAGTTTGTGTGGTTTACCTTTGTTACCTCTTGCTGATGGTTCATTTACATCTTTTGAGAAACATGGAGCTGCTGAAAGAATTTATATTGCAAGAGGGGAGGAATATGGTCTTCTCAAGGATATACTTCCACAACAGTTGGTTGACTGTGAACTTCCAGAAGCAGTACACAGCAAACTATGTGATTTGGCCCAAAGTGAGCAATCAAATGTTTCCTTTTTGTCATGCCATTTGCTTGAGAAGTTATTTTTGAAGCTACTTCCTGTTGAGTGGCAGCTTGCTAAAAAGGTGACTTGGTTTCCTGGTCATCAGGGCCAGCCAAGCAAAGAATGGATAAAGTTATTGTGGAACTATCTAAAGTCATGCTGTGATGACCTCACATTGTTTTCTAAGTGGCCTATATTACCAGTTGGAGACAGTTATCTTTTGCAACTAATTCAAAATTCAAATGTGATCAGAGATGATGGGTGGAGTGAAAACATGTCTTCTTTGTTGTTAAAAGTAGGTTGTCTATTCTTGAGGTGTGATTTACAAATAGAACATCCACAGTTAGAACACTTTGTGCAGCCTCCATCTGCAATGGGCATATTAAATGCTTTTCTTGCAATTGCCGGTAAAGTAGACAAAATTGAGAGCCTTTTCCATAAAGCATCAGAAGGTGAATTGCATGAGCTTCGGAGTTATATTCTTCAATCCAAGTGGTTCTCTGAACAAGTGATGGATGACTTGCATATTAACATTATAAAACACATCCCTATGTTTGAGTCATATAGAAGTAGAAAACTAATGGGTTTGAATAAACCAGTTAAATGGCTTAAACCTAGTTGTATCCGCGAGGATCTTTTAGATGATGATTTTGTACGTGCGGAATCAGAGAAAGAAAGAATCATTTTGGAAAGGTACTTGGAAATCAGAGATCCATCGAAGGTGGAATTTTATAAAAGTTATGTACTTAACCGCATGTCAGAGTTCTTGATGCGGCCAGGGGATCTTCTGGCCATTTTAAATGATCTGAAGTTTCTGATTGAAGAAGATAGCTCCATTAAATCAGCACTATCAGCGACCCCTTTTGTTTTGACAGTGAATGGATCTTGGCAACAACCTACCAGGTTAATTTATTTTGTGTGTTTTATTTCATGTGTTTATGACAAAAAGTTGCTAGTCTGCAGAGGTCCTTATCCACTTCCATTATTTATGTGATGGTAATATGTTTGTTTACTTCTTTACCTTATTTTATGTTGCAATGATGTTGCTGTTTGAACACCAACAGGGTGGAACAATTCAAGATATTGGAAGGCTATATAGTTCTTTCTTCTTTTTTTTTTCCCTGTACTCTGTAGCATAAATTAATAGAAAAGAATCTCAGGAATTGTACATATTTTAGACGAGGGAGTCCAAGTAAAATTATGAACATAAATAGACCTGATTTCTGATTCTGAGCATAAAGGAATTTGCATATTAGAATGATTTTATGTGCTACTTTTAGATTTTAGTTATTACCTGATGAGAAAATTGTGTTGACAATTATATTCTCTCTTCTTTTTACCTTGGCTTATTGGAATGATTTTAGGTATTTCCTTGTAAGCTAATGCCTACTCATTAACAGCTGTTTGATCATTCCTGGTTTCCTATGTAATGTTCTTTGCAGGCTTTATGATCCTCGAGTCCCTGAGCTACAAATGTTGCTCCACAAAGAAGTTTTCTTTCCTTCTGAGGAGTTCTCAAATCCTGAAACTCTAGATACTTTAGTTACACTTGGGCTTAGAAGAACTTTAGGCTTCACTGGCTTTCTTGATTGTGCAAGATCTATTTCAATACTGCATGATTCTGGTGATTCTAAATCACTGATTTATGGGAGGAAGTTGCTTGTATATTTAGATGTTCTCGCACATAAGATTTTAACTGAAAAGGAATGTTCTGATGACCCACAAAATGACCTTGGAAATAATTGTAGTATTGCAGAGGGTGATGCGGTTTGTGTTGACTCCCTTGGGAGAGATAAGATCTCCTCTTTAGATGATTCAGACATTGAATCTGTTATAGGGAACTTGATTGACGATATGCCTGAAGAAGATTTTTGGATGGAAATTAAAGCCATATCTTGGTGTCCAATTTTTGCCAATCCACCTCTGCAAGGGCTCCCATGGTTAAATTCCACAATTATAGTAGCTTCTCCAAGCATTGTGAGACCAAAATCACAGATGTGGATGGTGTCATCAATGATGCACATACTAGATGGTCAGTGTGGCTCAATGTATCTACAACGTCAGCTTGGTTGGTTGGATCTGCCAAACGTTCATATTCTTTCCACACAATTAATTGAACTGTCCAAGTCATATGGCCAACTGAAATTACAGTCTTTGGTGGAACCAGATTTTAATGCTGCCATACAACAAGAGATTCCAATGCTTTACTCAAGAATGCAAGAATACATTGGTACTGATGAATTCATGGTGTTAAAATCAGCTTTGGATGGTGTTTCATGGGTTTGGATTGGGGATGATTTCATATCCTCAAATGCACTAGCCTTTGATTCACCTGTTAAATTTACTCCTTACTTGTATGTTGTCCCATCAGAGTTAGCAGAATTTAGAGACTTGCTCTTGGAACTAGGGGTCAGAAGTAGTTTTGATATCTGGGACTACTTCCATGTTCTACAGCGCCTGCAGAATGATGTAAAAGGGCTTCCTTTATCGGCTGATCAGTTAGGTTTTGTCAATTGTGTGCTTGAAGCTATTGCAGATTGTTGCTCAGACAAGCCCTTTTTCGAGGCTTCTAATACACCATTGTTGGTTCCAGATTGCTTTGGTGTCCTGCGATCTGTAGCAGATCTTGTATATAATGATGCACCATGGATGGAAAATAGTGCTCTGGTTTCAAAACATTTTGTCCATCCAACCATCAGCAATGATTTGGCAGATACATTGGGTGTAAAATCTCTTCGATGTCTCTCTTTGGTAAATGAAGATATGATTAAAGATTTGCCATGCATGGACTTTGCTAGAATAAATGAGCTTTTGTCTACATATGGAAGCAATGATTTCTTGTTGTTTGACCTTCTTGAGTTGGCAGATTGCTGTAAAGCAACAAAGCTACATTTAATATTTGACAAGAGGGAGCATCCAAGCCAGTCTCTGCTCCAGCATAACTTAGGTAAGTAATACCTTTTCTAGATTTTCTCACTGGCTTTAATGACAGAATTTGTTTTCTTAGGGTGAAAGACTTTGCGTGAGTATTTCTGTATTTGTGTTAAACATGGCCCTAGCCCCTAGTTAATGTGCCCATGATAGACCTAGGCAAATCCCACATTGACAAAGCATGGGGAAGATGCTGGTTATATATGTAATTCAACACCTATTAATCCTTATTGACGTGTTTGAAAACCGTGAGGTCTGATGGGCCAAAGCGGATGGTATCGCTGGTGGGCTAGGTAATTTCATGTGGTATTAGAGCCATTCCACGTGACCTCTTGAACAGTGGTATGGCAAACCTTAGTGAGGATGCTGAGTTCTAATAGGGGGTGTGTGTGACACCACTAGGCAAATCTCACATTGACAAAGCACAAGAGAGATACTGGGTATATATGTCAGTCAACACCCATTAACCCTTGTTGATGTGTTTTAAAACCATGAGGCCCAAGTGGATAGTATATCACCAGTGGGCTGGGTGGTTATGGTGTCATTTAAGTTGTTAGGGTCACAAATAAAAGTATGTAACTTTGCAAAAATTAGTTGATTTTTTTCTCTACTGGTGTGAATAAGTCCATGTTAAATAATTAGCATCTTTTTCCTTCGGTGTGAGTTTATTTTGTTATAGATTTCCTAGTTCATGTGAAATGATATTTTCTTGGCCAAAAAAAATGCCAAACAATATCTTCTTGGTTATCTTCTATTTTGGCCAGTGGACTGTTATTCTGAACATTGCCTTTATTTTACTGCCTACAGCTGAGTTTCAAGGGCCTGCCTTAGTAGCAATTCTTGAGGGGGCCAGCTTGAGTAGAGAGGAGATAAGTAGTCTTCAGCTCCTTCCTCCATGGAGACTTCGTGGCAATACTCTTAACTACGGTTTAGGACTGCTAAGCTGTTACTTCATATGTGATCTTTTATCTATGATTTCTGGTGGCCACTTCTATTTGTTTGATCCTTGTGGGTTAGCTCTTGCTGTACCGTCAGGTCGTGGTCCTGCAGCAAAAATGTTTTCTTTGATAGGTATTTTTCTATGTAACAACGTCATTGGTTTAGAGTCTCTATTGTATATTGCTTTCTCTGACTTTCTTTCTCATCACTTTCTACTTGAATACTTTCAGTAAAGTCCTAGCCCCAATTATAGAGCATTTTTGCAGAATTGGGATTTACTTTAACAACTGTGTGATTGCATGGTAGGTATACAAATAATTTTTTACAACAGGCCATATTTTTTTTCTGTAGCTTGATTTATTTAGACTGAAAAAAAATGTAAAGAATGTATCTTTATGGACCAGTACATTGGAACTGTATTTTCCTAGTTATTGGATCATGTGTGCAAAAGCCTTTTTACTGGTTTGGAGCTCTAGCTTCAGAACCAATATGCCACACCAATGCTACTATTGTTATTTTTTAAGTCAAAGTTCCCTTTTGCAACAACATGATTGGCATCTCAGAAACTCTCCTTGTAACTACCTTCTTCCCAATTTTGGATTGGCTTTTATAAATTTATGGGAGTAATTTATAGTCAGTTCTGTACATTGATGGAGAGTAATTTTTTTTTTCCTTTTACATTATTTTAGGTACTAATTTGACTGAGCGCTTTTGTGATCAATTTACTCCTATGCTGATTGGTCAAAGTATGCCATGGTCATCATCAGACTCTACCATTATCCGCATGCCTCTATCATCAGTCTGCTTGAAAGATGGACTTCAGGTGGGATTGAAGAGAGTAAAGCAAATAGTGGACAGATTTTTGGACCATGCATCTAGTATGCTTCTTTTCTTGAAGTCAATTTTGCAGGTATGATCTGATGTTGTAATATTGTTACATGCATGTTTATCAGTGATTAATAGAATATGTTACTTTTGTTGGGTTAATAAGAGATATTGTGTTAACATTGCCTTGTATTTATATCTACACTTTTCAATGTCTGTCCTGACAGACCAAATAATTCTATTCATGTTTATCTTTATTTTGGCCCTCTATTCATTTTTATCTTTAAGAGTATGTTTTTAGTAGTTATTAAAATGTCAACAATCAAGGTTCTTTTCTTTTTGCTTTGAGAAGGATCTGGGACTTGAGTTCTTAATGAAATTTTGGAAACTAAAGGATGCCTAGTGATTGGAGGAGGAGCATTGTTGTTCCAATGTATCAGAAAAAAAGGGATGCTTGTAGCATTATAATGAAACTAGGTAGAGGGTGAGAAAATTAAGATGTGAGATTAGAATTTCTGAGACCCAATTTAGTTTTATGCCTAGAAGTTCAGTTATGGATTTTATCTTGTTAATTTGGAGTTTAATGGAAGATTATGAAGAGAATTTGTAAGATTTGATATGGCTTTTATTGATTTAGAAAAAGAATGGGATGTAGTTCCTAGCATAGATTTGTTGTGTCAATGTGCTTAAGGATACCAAGGTGACCATTAGAAGTGTGAGGACAATTAAAGGTAATACTACTTACTTCCGTAAAGAGTAATTGGATTCTGGTAGAAAGAATGGAGATGCATATGGAGTGGAAATGACAAGCTGAACTGGTTCTTTTATATCTTCATGAGAATGTAATCCTTGATCAGATGAAACAGAGGTGAAATGTCATCAAACAAATGCTAACTGGTTTTAGACTTATAGACTTAGCTGGGCAAACTTTCATTTAGGATACTGAACCTCTCATGTTTTCATCAATGTCTCTTTGTTACCTGCCAGTGGTTTTTTCTTAAGAGAGAAGGTTTAAAAATGACACCTATTACTTGTACAGGTGTCATTTTCAACATGGGAGGAAGGAAATGCACAACTTTGTCTGGATTATTCTGCTTCTATTGATTCATCATGTGCTATTATGAGGAATCCATTTTTGGAAAAGAAGTGGAGGAAGTTTCAATTATCCAGGTTATTTGGTAGCTCAAATGCTGCAAGTAAACTGCACATAATTGATGTAAACTTATTCCAAAAAGGAACTAGATTTGTGGACAGATGGCTAGTTTCACTGAGTCTTGGTTCTGGTCAGACAAGAAATATGGCACTTGACAGGTAAGTTAACAGCAAATCGTTTTTGGTTATTCCTATTTGATTGTCATTAACTCTCTGCATTTAGATTGAAAATGAATTTTATACATGAAAATTATCTTTAACAAATTGTGGATTTAGGTTGGAACAAGGGTAAGTCCATAAGTTCAGAGATTATCTTGTTGGGCTACAAACATCACATCAGTCATCTTGCTTTTTCAATATTTCTATAAAATTATATGATACTTTCCTGTAATGTAGCTAAAGAATTTTCAAAGAAATAGTTAGTTGATTCATGTTGTGAGCACTGAGAAAAAAAGTTAGGTATAATAATCAGAGGATTGTTATTTTCTTTTTTCATTTTTGATGGAATTAACTAGTAATCTTCCTTCAAAGTTAAGGATTCTAAAGTGTTTCTATTTGGGCTGATTAATTTTGTTGTGTGAACAAAACTGGTAGAAAAGATGAGTTTAACGTTGGGTGTCTGTTTGTGCATTATCTGGACATAAGCAGGATTTCCTCCTAAATAATAATGTATCATATATTTAATGTGGAATGATGAAGTTTGTTGAACAAGTCCTGAATTCCACATTTTATGTAGGCCAAGTCTCTGTGAAACCTGATTGGGCAATAATTTATAAAATGAGGAATGATTAGTTTTTCTCCTTGTACTATAGTTAGTATGTAATAGATTGATAATCTTTTGTGTTTATAGTCAATAAAAAATGTACTTTTCTTTTTACTTTTCCATCACTGAGTTGAAGGAAGATTGAAAGTTATAAAGGAGTTACTGATGTTTTGTGAGTTCAATATAGAATAGGATGGTGTTAAATCTGTAATTTTGTAGGATGGAAGAGGTGGTTCTTGAATGTTCGATTTTTTGCTCATTATTATTAATTCTGAAGAGAAGTAAATTCAAAATGTCATCCTGCACACTTTATGCAGAAGAGTCAATGTTGTCACTTACTGTATAATTTTCTCTGCGCATTCTCTGTAAAAAATACGGAGTGTATTCAGTGATGCTCTAACATATTTGTGAAATTTGTTTAAAGGCGCTATATAGCATACAATTTGACACCTGTGGCTGGAGTTGTGGCACATGTATCTCGAAATGGCCATCCAGTTGATGGTTATTCAATGACCTCTGTAATGTCACCTCTTCCTCTCTCTGGTGGCATATCTTTTCCTGTCACCATCCTTGGATGTTTCCTTGTTCGCCATAATGGTGGTCGTTATCTCATTAAGAACCAACGTAAGGGCAGTTTGGGTGAGCCACAGCCTGATCCTGGAGATCAGTTGATTGAAGCATGGAACAGAGAACTGCTGTCTTGTGTTCGTGATTCCTATATTGAATTGGTGCTGGAAATGCTGAAGTTAAGAAGAGAACCCTCAAATTCTAGTATTCAGTCTGGTGCCAATCAATCAATTGCCCTCTCTTTGAAGGCTTATGGAGATAAAATCTACTTCTTCTGGCCTAGGTCAACTGGGCATGCTAATCAAACTGGTGATACTAAAGTACTTGAAGCTGATTGGGAATGCCTGGTTGAACAAGTGATAAGGCCCTTCTATGCCCGTATGGTAGATCTACCCGTATGGCAACTGTACTCTGGAAACCTGGTCAAGGCTGAGGATGGTATGTTTCTCTCACAACCTGGCAATGGGGTGGGTGGTAATTTGCTCCCGGCTACTGTTTGCAGCTTTGTGAAAGAGCATTATCAAGTGTTTTCAGTACCTTGGGAATTGGTGAATGAAATCCATGCAGTAGGATTTAGAGTTAATGAAATCAAACCTAAAATGGTCCGTGATCTTTTGAAGGTTTCATCAACATCTATTCCTCTTCCTTCGGTTGATACTTTTGTTGATGTTCTTGAGTACTGCTTATCTGATATTCGGTTCCATGAATCATCCAACATTCTTGGAGCTGATACATCTATAGATCCCATTAACCCAAGTATGTCTGATATAGGAACTGAGGAAGTGGGTAGCAGTTCTGTTGTAGCAAGAGTTCCTAATCTGCAGACTTATCATGGTTCATCTGCCCAGAGTAGTGGCAGTTCAGGGGATGCACTTGAAATGATGACAAGTTTAGGGAGGGCTTTATTTGATTTTGGACGGGGAGTTGTTGAGGACATTGGTAGGGCTGGATCTGTTGTTCAAAGAGATAGCACTGTGAGTATGAATACTGGCAGGACTGGCAATAATGATCCAAAGATTCTATCAATAGCTGCGGAGATCAAACGGTTACCATGTCCAACTGCAACGAATAATTTAGCACGATTGGGGGTTACCGAACTGTGGTTAGCCAACAAGGATCAACAGGACTTGATGATGCCTTTAGCAGCACATTTTGTCCACCTAAAAGTATTGGAAAGATCAAGCTTGGAGGATATCTTCTCAAAAGTTGCCATTCAAACATTACTTAGACTGAAGAGTTTCTCATTTCAATTGATGGCAGGTCATATGAGGTTACTTTTTAACAGCACCTGGGTAAATCACGTGATGGAGTCACCTCTGGTTCCATGGTTTTCCTGGGAGAATGCATCAAGTGCTGGTAATGACAGGGGTCCTTCCCCTGAATGGATAAGACTTTTCTGGAAAAGCTTTAGAAGATCATCAGAAGACATCTCCTTATTTTCTGACTGGCCCTTAATTCCTGCCTTTCTTGGTAGGCCAGTTTTATGTCGTGTAAGGGAGTACCATCTGGTCTTCATTGCACCCCTGGCGACAGATCTAATCTCTGGAAATGGAATCATGAATGTGACTGCAACAGAAAGTGTGCCAGCAGGAGTATCTGATACTCAAACTTTTGAAACTGTCCCGATCCAATCTTACATTTCAGCTTTAGAAATAGCCAAAGGCAGGTACCCCTGGTTGCTGTCATTGTTAAATCAATGCCACATACCCATTTTTGATACCACTTTCATGGATTGTGCTATTTCTTGCAACATTCTTCCTACACCTGGCCAATCATTAGGGCAAGTTATTGCCTCTAAGCTTGTTGCAGCTAAACATGCTGGCTATTGTCCAGAACTTACTTCCCTCTCAGCCTCAGATCGTGATGAGCTTTTTAATCTTTTTGCTTATGATTTCTCTACCCATGGTTCTCATTATGGAAGAGAAGAACTTGAAGTATTGCATTCTTTGCCTATCTATAGAACAGTTTTAGGCTCTTTCACAAGATTAAATAACCAAGAACAGTGTGTGATCTCATCCAATTCATTCCTTAAAGCATGTGATGAAAATTGCCTCTCTTATTCTACAGATTCAATTGAATTTTCACTACTTCAAGCTCTTGGAGTCCCTGAGTTGCATGATAAACAAATTTTGCTAAGGTTTGGGTTGCCTCGATTTGAAGAAAACACTTTGGCCGACCAGGAGGATATATTGATTTATCTTTATACGAATTGGCAAGATCTTCAAACAGATTCTTCTGTACTTCAAACTTTAATGGAAACTAAATTTGTTAAGAATGCTGATGAATTTTCTTCAGATTTATCCAAGCCTAAGGATCTATTTGACCCTGGTGATGTTTTATTAGCATCTGTATTTTCTGGTGAAAGGAAAAAATTTCCTGGTGAAAGGTTCAATACAGATGGATGGCTTTGTATATTACGGAAAGTGGGCCTCCGAACTGCAACTGATGCAGATGTTATACTTGAATGCGCTAAAAAGGTGGAGGCTCTTGGAATTGAGTGCTTTAAATTTGCTGGAAATTGTGATGATTTTGATACTGATGTAAGTCAAGGCGAAGTTTCCATGGAAATATGGGCATTAGCTGGATCTGTTGTTGAAGCCATCCTCTCAAACTTTGCTGTCCTTTATGGAAATAACTTCTGTAATCTCCTAGGCAAAATTGCTTGTATACCTGCTGAAATTGGCAACGTGTGTGGTAAGAAAGGTGGCAAGAGAGTCCTTGCTTCATACAATGAAGTAATTCTTTCTAAGGATTGGCCACTAGCTTGGAGCTCTGCTCCCATCCTTTCCAGGCCAAATGTTATTCCTCCTGAATACTCTTGGGGAGCACTCCACCTGAGGAGCCCTCCACCTTTTGCAACAGTCCTAAAGCATCTAGAGGTAAGAAATTTATTTTCCTCTTCTTTTTTTTTTCTTTAATGAGAGCTACCGTTGAATATATATGAGTAGATATTAATGAAGGCATGCCTCAGATTATTGGGAAAAATGGTGGAGAAGACACTCTTGCTCACTGGCCCACTACGTTGGGCATGATGACCATTGATGATGCCTCTTGTGAGGTTTTGAAATACCTAGATAAGATATGGGGTTCACTTTCTTCTTCAGGTATCTTCTTGCTTTTTTCTTCCTGCTATTTATGTTGTGTTTAATTTTAATCCTTTTAATTTAAAAGTTGCAGAGCTTCTAACTTCTACCATTTGAAATAATTCAATGCAATGAATAAAATATCAGCTTCTTCACATCCATTGCTTCAGATTTTAGTTTTTGATGCTAGATTACTATCTTGTCTATTGTCCTCTATTTTTGTTATCATTTGCTTCCTTGCATGAGCTGTTCATGCATATCTTTCCAGGCCCGTATAGATATTACTTCATCATGTTACATTCTTGGTTTGCTGCCCAAGCTTTGTCAAGATATCCCTTGGAGGAGAAACGAGTAGGGGTATGGTGTCCAATGGATGTATCTATCATCTGTATCCAATTCCATTATGTATTATAGCCATGAGTCAGAATAATTCATTGAATTTACAACATTCAATTACACTGCTTTGATTTCAGGTGCCTAAATAAATTGTAGACCACACCTTGCCCCTGGATTAAATAGTAACATTTGTAAGTCAATTGACATGTAGCAGTCTTCAACCAATAGAATTTTTTGCTAGGTGTTAAGTTGGAAAGTCCCACGTTGATTAATTAAAAGGTAATTTGTTAGAGCCTAGGCCCTGCACCACTAAGTGAGATGGAGTAAGTCCATTTAATATGTAACTTAGAGGTTTTGCAGCCAGGCTGTCTAGTGCACAACCCAAGAGAGTTGCCACAAGTATGCAACCCTAAGAGAGGCTGTTGGAGGGCAAAAATCCTTACATTGTAAGGTGAGGGGCAAAAATCTTCAAGCTCTGCAAGTAGAAGCAAAATCCATGGGTTTTTGCCAATGTCTGGTTCTTTTCTATAAATTAATTAATCCTTGGATCACAGATAAATGTTTGTATTTTCTTTGTTTTGGAACGAAAAAGATGGCATTCCCCATCCACTGAGCAATGCATATACAGGAGAGACCTTTTTTTTTTTTCTGGTGGAGGATGGGAATCGAAGCCCCCTGGACACTGTCCCAGCTCTTTACCATCCCAACTTACAAAGTTGTGGCTGATCTTTCTTATGCAGGATTTTAGATTTAGGCAAAACCCTTAATAATAATTTATGGAATAATTAATTTGTTACAAATCCCTTTTATAAACTATTGAGATGCTTCTTCACAAAGGAATAAGATTTCTAAAATATAGGAAGCTTGTTTAAAATTAAGACTTATAAAACATTTATATTAATTAAATATTGCTAAAGTTCCTATATGAAGCCCTATGTAGAACGTCTTGGTCCAATAAACACTATTGGCCCATCATTAAGGAAACACCCTTAACCAGCGGGCAGCTGCTTCATGGTCAATCAGATTTTATTTATTTATTTATTTTTTTCATGTCTGAGTATTGACCTAAACCTTCACATAAATTTCCCTGTATTTGAATCACATGAGATGGAACTTCTATTAGAATTATATTTTCTAGATCTACATGCTGCTTTATTATATTTTCTTCCTTTTTATTTTGTTTTCTTCTTTGTTATTGTTCATCTTCATTGTTGGGTTAACAATCTGCATAAAATTAGCCTGGCAAACCATATCTGTGTGTACTATTGCACATTGTGTTTTGTTCTTGTAAAGGTTGGTGCTTGCATGTGATCTAGGTGTATGTAAAATTTAGAATTTTATGCTTTAAAAGCTGCTAAAGTACAATAATTCAGTGTCTCCTTACCAGTTATTAATTATTTTACTTTAAACTTTTCACTGTTCAAATATGAAGATATAGAGAAGCTCAAGGGAGTGGCATTTGTGCCTGTTGCAAATGGAACACGCTTGGTTACATCTAGCTTGCTTTTTGCACGTCTCACAATCAATTTGGCACCATTTGCTTTTGAGCTTCCTACCATGTATCTTCCTTTCGTGAAGATTCTCAGAGATTTGGGACTTCAGGACATATTATCCATTGCTTCTGCCAAAGAACTTCTTTTAAATCTACAGAAGGCATGCGGATATCAGCGTCTGAATCCAAATGAACTCCGTGCTGTAATGGAAATTCTGTATTTTGTCTGTGATGGAGGTGCAGAACAAAATGTGTCTGATGGGTTTGACTGGAAAACAGATGCAATTGTCCCAGATGATGGTTGTAGGCTTGTTCATGCAAAATCATGTGTCTATATTGATTCATATGGCTCTCGGTATGTCAAACGTATTGACACTTCCAGGTTAAGATTTGTTCACCCAGATATTCCTGAGAGAATATGTACTGTCTTGGGCATCAAAAAGCTGTCTGATATTGTTACAGAGGTACCCATTTTCCAGAAATTTGCATATTTGTTGAATATGTATTTTTTTATTTATTTGACAAAGTTATTGTTTTGCAGGAACTTGATAATGAAGAAGATCTAGAGACTTTAGAGTCTATTGGATCTGTCCAACTAGCAGTCATCAGAGAGAAGTTATTAAGCAGGTCTCTTCAGGGTGCTATATGGACTCTTATACACAGCATATCCAGTTACATCCCTGGAATTAGCAATAAGTCGTTAGATACTGTACAGAGTTCACTAGTATTTGCCGCAGAAAAGTTGCAGTTTGTTAAGTGCCTTCATACTCGTTTTTGGCTTATCCCAAAGTCTGTAGATATTACCTTTGTATCTAAGGATTATGCAATTCCAGAGTGGCAAGCTGGATCTCGACATCGAACTCTTTACTTTGTCAACAGATCAAAAAGCTGTATATTAGTTGCTGAGCCTCCATCATATATATCTATTCTTGATGTTCTTGCAACTGTTGTCAGTCAGGTTTTAGGGTCCCCTATGCCCCTACCCATAGGATCTTTATTTTTCTGTCCTGAAGGCTTTGAGGCCGCAATTAGTGATATTCTTACACTTTCTTCTGATAAGAAGGAAGTTGAAGCCACAAGTAATAATTTGATAGGCAAAAAGATAGTGCCCCAAGATGCTTCTCAAGTGCAACTTCATCCATTGAGGCCATTTTATAGAGGAGAAATTGTGGCTTGGAGAACTCAAAATGGAGAGAAGTTGAAATATGGCAGAGTTCCAGATGATGTCAGACCTCCAGCAGGGCAGGCTCTCTATAGATTGAAGGTAGAAACAGCCCCGGGAGTGACTGAGCCTCTTCTTTCCTCACAAGTCTTCTCATTTAGAAGTGTATCAATGGGATGTGAAGCATCCTCAGTTGCCTTGGCAGAGAGTAGTCATACAGTAATTGATAATAGAACCAATATGGAGATACAAGAGAGTTCTCTAAGGGGCAGGAAAATATTTTCTCAGGTTTGTGCCTTGTATCTTTAACTCTCTTTGATTTTATTTGTTTGATGCTTTTTTTAATCCTTTGTCAAGATTCATGAGGATACACAATGCCTTTAATTCTCATTTTATTCATATGCTTCTGTGGTGCTATGGTGGTATCCATTAAATTGAATTTGGGCATATGACTTGCTGTGAAGGAATTATTTAACTTAATTTATTTTGTCTTTTGATGGACTGCTGTGCTTAGGTAGACCATATGGTTTCATGATTATTTTTCCTTTTGTAAATGCAAATTGGTCTTACTCTTCTAACCCTATACATTCATGCAGTATGATTGAGGAGGTTTGGGAAAGAATTTAGCTAGTTTTTTTTTATGATTAATGAATTATGTTTGTCATCATCGGCATTATATGGGTAAATAAACAATCACTCTGACTGTTATCAAGTTCCAGTAAATTATTTGAACTTCAAATTTTGGACATAGAATCAGTTTCTGAACTATAAATTAGATTCAGTATAGCAATTTTTACTTTTCTTGCAGTTGGTGGTAAAAAATATTGATCCAAATGTTTCAAGGCAATCCTGGAATGTTGCATCTTTAGTAAGCTCGATAAAATGAACTTTTTACATTTAATTAGTTGAAGAAATCAGTGAGGAAATCTGGCATAGAACTTGTGTCATTCAAGGGTTTGGTTTTATGAACTCAAAATTAAGAAGTTAAATAGAACTTATTGTGCATTTGCTGTCATTTTATTGCTATTCATATCTCTTTGTTTGATATTCAATACTTGAGTTTATATCATTTTAACTGATAAGGAAAACAGGTCCTTGATGGTAATGGTACCTAAAATGTAAATTTACTAACATTTTCATCCCTGTTGAATTGGTTACGGTGCTTAAAAAAATGTATGGAATTAAGTATTTAAAACTTGGTTATTTACTTGTTTCATGAGACGTGTGAGAAGGTTCATGAGATTTTTCTTTATGGATAATTGCAGCCCGTTAAAGAGCTGCTGTATGGCCGCGTTTCAGCTGCAGAACTGGTTCAGGCTGTAAATGAGATGCTTTCTACTGCTGGTATCACCATGGATGTAGAAAAGCAGTCTCTACTGCAGAAAATGGTTACTCTTCAAGAGCAATTGAGGGAGTCTGAAACAGCACTTTTGCTTGAACAGGTTTGTATTTTGATGATTCGAACGAGCAATAAGTTTTTAGTTCATGGTCTACCGAATGATAAATTACCGATGTCATGGACAAAATCTGTAGGAAAAGGCCGATTCAGCAGCAAAAGAAGCAGAAACAGCAAAAGCAGCTTGGCTGTGCCGGGTCTGTTTAACCAATGAAGTTCACATGACAATAGCTCCTTGTGGCCATGTTCTTTGTCATAGATGTTCATCAGCAGTCTCAAGATGTCCTTTCTGTCGGGTTCAGGTCAACCAAACCATCAAGATTTTCCGGCCATGACTGTGGGCAACCTTTACTGCTTTTAGAAGTTTATGATGTGTTTGGTTCTTGCAGTGCAGTCTTGGTCATGATATACTTCAAATTTGCACCTGAATTATTATCCCAGAAAATGGGACAAAATTACTTGTAATCATTGAAACAGTGGAAACTGTTATGATATTAGGATAGGATGTTGTCCTGTTAGAGAGTTTTTTTCGGCTTTGTCAAGTTTTGTAAGTAACATACTATAGACTGTATACTATGAATGGGTCCCTGAACTTTTGTTCAGAGTCCCAATTTGGTCCTTCAACTCAAAAAATATCTTTTTCTGATCCAAGTTTAATATTTTTTGGCTCTTTTTGGACCACCTGTTTTTTTTTGCCTACTAAGCACTAATTTTCTATTAAGGAATTTGATTTTTCTATTTTTTAGTATTACATGGAAATTAAGTGGAATTTCCAAAGGCTTATGTGGCAATTAATTTTTTCGTAGGAAATTTTGAAAAGAAAAATAATTAAGAGATCATTTTTTAATAATTGAATGATTAATTTTTTTCCCTCTATTAAAAAATATGATGTTATATAAATTTATTTATTTCATAATATATAAAAGCTGTTTAAAAAGTTATATAAAAAATTATTCACATATCATTATCTTATTAAAAAATAAATAATTAATGGATAATGATATGCATAACATTTTTTTATACAATTTTTATTTGACTTTTAAATATCATTAAAAAAAATAATGTATATAATATCATGTGTTTTATTAATATAAAAAAATTAATTATTAAATAAAATATCATGTGTTTTATTAATATAAAAAATTAATTATTAAATAAAATATCATGTGTTTTATTAATATAAAAAAAAATTAATTATAAAATAATATGTAAAGTTGTATGAAAATATTTCACTAAAAAATTGTTTTGTAATCATTTTTCATATTTAATTGACTAAGATCCATGTGGGATTCCATGCAAATGTTTTTCAAATTATTAGGAGTAGGCCTTGAAAAATGGCGAGATATCCCAAAAGAACTAGGTACCCAGAAGAGGCAAAAAATCACTTGTTCGCCCATGAACTTATAAAAGTTTGAACCTGGATTTCCTCATCCTATACCTTTATAACTTTAAGGTTAAATCTTTAATTTGATTCTTAAATTATTTTATGAACTTTCGATTTGATTCTTAAACTAAAATAATCCTTGATTTAGTCCCTAAACTATTGTACGAACCCCTAATTTGGTTTTATTGTTTACCAATTTACCTCGAATTGATCTTTTTATACAAAAACTAATTGACGTGTTTTGGTATTAACATGACACGTGACAGTTAAGTTACTGTTTTTCGTTATTAAGTTATTATTTTTTATCATTAAATAACGGACACATCAGTTATTTTTTTGTATAGAAAGACCAATTTAAGGTAAATTGGTAAATAGTATGGACCAAGTTAGGTCTGTACAATAGTTTAAAGATCAAATCAGAGACTTTTTTAGTTTAGGAACCAAATCAAAAGTTCGTACAATAGTTCAGGGACCAAATTAAAGTTTAACCTAACTTTAAACTCCTAAACAATACTTATTTTAAAACTTTATACCCAAATTAACAGTAAAAACTCACGTGCCATCACGTGTCTGTTACGCTCTATAAAAAATTGCCATGTCACTTCACACATCCATAAACTTATTCCACCTCAGCATGCCATGTCCCTCCACAATTTTAAAATTGTCTTTTTCCAATTTTCTTCGCCTCTTCCTCATCTTCTTCCTCCCCCGTCAAAACCAGAGGTTTTTAGCGGTTCAATGTTCGTTCTGCAATGGAGGCACAGCCGTTTGCTTCTATGTTTGCACTGAAACAACCTCTAAGCTCATCATTTTCCACTTTCTCACCGTTGTCTCTCACATTCCTTTCCAACAGTCATCATCGAAGTCGTCGAGATGTCCAATTTCCTTGGTTGCTCTCCTTCTGAGCTTCCTTTGCTTCTAATTTGGTATTTGCATTTCTTCATCTCTTTTTTCTTTTTTTTTTTTTTTTTTTTTTTTTCAAAAGAACTGGGTTCTCTAAGAAACCTAGATCTGGGTTCTTTTGAGTTTTGACATCCTAAATTTGGGTTCTCCAAGGAACCCAAATCTGGATTCTTTTGAGATCCCAAATTTGGGTTCTCCATACGATTTGTTGTTTTTGTTGGAGTTTTGGAGGTTAGGGATTTATATTTCTTCTGATAAGGAGTGTATTAGTGAAGGTGAGAACCCAAATTTGATTTTTGTGTGAAACCCAGATCTAGGTTCTTGGAGAACCCCGAACTGGATTCTTTTGGATGTTGGGGATGTGGGTTCAAGGGTAAGAAAGAAAGAAGAGAAAGGAGGAGAAGAAGGTATTCCAAGATTGGAAATCCATATTTGGATTTTTTTTAATTTTTATTATTTTCTTAAAAGTTTTCATTTGGAAGTTTGGAAGTTGGTTTACGGTAGAATGAATTTTCTTGAAGTGAAATGGCTTAGAACAAATTGTTGTTAAATTTTTTGGTTTTAGAAGTGATTTTTATGGATTAAAATCATTAAATGCTTAAAAAGCGCAAGAAATGTTGAGGTTTTAATCGGAGAAAGGAAGGGTTGTGGAATTGAAAATTTGTTTGCAAACAAAGGGTAAAAAGGTAATTTTATCATTAAATATGCCTTTAATTGACATGGTAGCTTGCATTGAATAACTTGGCAAAAACCCACTTTGAGCCCCTCACCTTACAAACCTTGAAGGTTTTAGCCCTTCACCTTATACTATGACACTTTTAGCCTTTTACATTGTTAGATTTGTAGTTTTAACCCCTTACCTATTAAAATTGAAGAAAATAGCCCTCAGTTTAGATTGACTATTAATTCTATTAATTGAAAGTAAATTTTTACTAACTAATAACAACTAATAACCAATTAACAAAATTAACAAAATATTATAAAATTAGTTATGTTAGTTGAAAGAAAGTTTTTGACAGTTAACAGTTAACTAACAGTCAGTTAATAAAGTTAACAATCAATTAACAAAATTAACAAAATTTTACAAATTGAGGGTTATTTTCTTTAATTTTAATAGGTGAGGGGTTAAAAGTATCCTAATATAAGGTGAGGGGTTAAAAGTGTCCTAATATAAGGTGAGGGGTTAAAAGTGTCCTAGTATAAGGTGAGGGGCTAAAACCTATAAATCTAATAAGGTGAAGGGACAAAAATGTTATAGTATAAGATGAAGGGTTAAAACCTTCAAACTTAACAAGATGAGGGGCTAAAAGTAGGGTTTCGCTGAATAACTTTGTTTATTTGTGGAGCTGACATGGCATTTTTGAATGGAGTTAATGGGCATGTGATTGCACATGAGTTTTTATGGTTAATTTGGGCCCAAATTTTCAAACCCATTTGCACTTAGGGCTCATGGTCAAATGGTTATAAGTTAGGTTAGGTTGTAAAATGCATCCCCCAACTCTTGAGTCAAGGGTCGAATCCCATCGCCTCATATGTAAACCTGGGAAAAAAGAAAATTTCAAACCCATCCTATTTTGGGGCTTAAGTTACAAAGTTATAGTATGAAGAAACTTGAGGTCAAACTTAGCAAATTGAGAAGCCAAATGGTGATTTTTGCCACCCAAAAGAAAAGGAGAAGAATGAATCAAAATAAAGGATGAAATTCATAAAAGTGAGGGATATTAAATTTGGGTCCTCTATGCCATGTGAGCCCGCATCATTGTTGTGTAAGCTCATTGAAGGATTTCTAAGGTGTCGCATTTGAATGGGAAGGAGGTTTACCTAGTTGAAGAAATTCTAGAGAGAACGGATTATTGAGTGGTCCTTAGTTATAGGGAGAGTTTGAAGATTGAAATGTTGTAATTGTAGAAGGAAGGAAATTGCTTCCCTTTTCCTCCCTAACTCCAGTCTGAGGCTTGCTATCTTGGTTAGTCAATTTAGTCCCTATCCTACCACGTTGAAGATTTGGAGTTTGGTATTAATATAAGCTTGAACGTGCTGATGACATGGTAGTCTCCTAATCAACATGAAATGCCACATTAATAGCGCATTCTTTAGACTATACAAGAAAATTTGGCTTAATCTATATATATATATATATAATGCTACCCTATGCATTAAAGAGGGTAAGCATTTTATATATACCTTCTGACTTGCTTAAAGGAACGTTGTTACATTTTCTTGAATAGTTATTTTTTCTTGAATAGTTATTTTTTCAAAATTCATGACTGCAAGATAAGCACTAAATTATGATTGTTATGATAAGTAATAAATTTATTAATAAAAAATAACTGAAAATAATTTAAATAAATGGTATATTAATTGTTAATTATTAATATATATATTTTTATATGCTCAGCCCAATCCAAATTCTTCCTTCCCCAACATCCTCAACACCTCGTCTTGAGCACATGTTTGGGTGGCGCCGAACGTTAAAGAATAAACTAGGCATCGGTTTGACGCTCATGTTTTGACAAATGGACCTATCGTTGCCCAGCTTCACCGCATGAGCCCCGTTGGGGATTGCAAAGTAAAACCCACTGAGCTGCGGCCCGCCTGAGACGTACTCCACTAAGCCCTAGATTTCCCACTCTGGGGGTGAGTACTTTCCTTGGATAATTGTTTTCTTGAGGTCTTAATTTTTGGGTGCTTGCTCAAAGTTACCACTTTTCAAAAGTCCTGGCAAAGAGAAGGCAAGGAACTTGAAAAATCACTCAGTTGAGGGTATAAAACACTTGAAACCAAACCTCGATCTCTCATTCATTGGTGCAATAATTTTATGTTTAGCAAAAAAAAAATTTTTGTTTTTCAAATCCAGTGGATTTGCTTGGGTGTGGCAAGTTGTACGGGAAGCTGAGGTATGTGAACCGGCTGGAGTGATTCACCTGTTTCTGTCTACTCCATGAGGTGCATCTCCTAGGATAGAAACAAATTCCCACCCTTCCTCCCCCTTTTTGTTAACGTTTTCAGGCTTCTTTAGAATGAGGTGAATTTGGGTTTTACTTCGTGAATATTGTAATTGTAAAAAAAAAATATGGTTTGAGATTTTGGTACAAATGTGCATGAGGAAACGAAATCCGAAAGGAGTTTGATAAAGAGAAGAAGACTTTTTGTATGATTTTTATTTGATTCTATTTTATATCATTTAAAAAATTATTTTCTTAAGTTTATCAAAAAAGATTTCAAAAGATAATAGAATATATTTTTTATTTTTAATGTAGGCTTTCAAGAGAAAGAAAGTAATAATGAGAAGACGAGAAGACCCAATACAATTGGATGATGAGGACACAAAATAAGATTTCGATAAATATATCGTATTGG